GCTTTGCTCCCGGTGCCTCTGGTCTGCTGGGGACCATCTCCAGCAGACCAGGGACACCGGGAACAAAGCCTCTGAGGACGCCCCGGAAGCGGGACAGCCCTGGCGCGCCTGGGCTGCCCCGCCGCCGGAGCCCCTCTGCGGCTTTGCAAAGCCATACCCGGCGTATAAGACGACCCCCGATTTTGGGGGGATGTTTTTTAACATCAGAAGTCGTCTTATATGCCGGAAAATACGGTAACTCTGTGTTTGTCTGTTACCACACCCTGAACCAGGGCTTGAACTATCCCTAACTGGGACTTTGTGGAGTTGCCGCCCTCCCAGCACCAGCACCAGGGCCAGGTCTATGTACATATATAGATAAGCAGACTCTGTGGTGTGTTGCCCGCCTGAAGGAAGGCCAGGCATGGACCTGCAGCTTGGCTTAAAGGGACAGTGCAGGGAGCGGAGTGGCCGCCCACTGACGCGGAGGAGGAGGAACCCCTCCGGGAAGCCAAGCCAACTACATAGACTAACTAGTTGTCCCAGTCAGCCTTCCCCTAAGGGTATGTCTAGACTACATGGCTCCATCGACGGAGCCATGTAGATTAATTTTCTAGAGATAGGAAAATGAAGTGGCGATTTAAATAATCTCTGCTTCATTTACATCAAAATGGCTGCTGCACTGTGCTGATCAGCTGTTTGGCGGCACAGCACGATAGTCTGGACCCTCCGCGGTCAACAAGGTAAGCATAACGGGGCATTATGGGGCGGTCAACAAGGGCTTCTCTTGTCGACTGCGGAGCGTCCAGACTACCACACTGTGCCGCCGCCAAACAGCTGATCAGCACAGCGCGGCAGGCATTTTGATGTAAATGGACAACTTCTGGTAACCAAAGTGGCAACTTTAGGGTACGTCTAAACTACATGGCTCTGTCGACAGAGCCATGTAGTTTAGACGTACCCTAAAGTTGCCACTTTGGTTACCAGAAGTTGTCCAATGAAAGGTATCACCACTCCCGCCTTGTCTCTCTAGTATCCTGGGACCAACACAGCTATGACCACACTACATACAACAGATGGAAGATAATGAATTTTGCCATCTAAAATGTACACTCCACAACATGTAGAAAAATGAAGCAAACTTTTTAACTGTAAGATATCCTTAAACAGAAGTAGGTCCAATAAAAGATACTAGGTCACCCACTTTGTCTCTCCCCTTAACTGTTATGGATTTGCATCTGCTCACGGTCCTGGTGTCAGGCTGTCTACACTTGAAGCTGGGGCTGTGATTCTCAGCTCATGCAAACACACTTGCACTAGCTCTCATCAAGTTAGGATGCTAAAAGTCATAGGGTAGCCATGGTAGCATGGCAAACCGTGGCACAGGCTATTGGCCCCAAGAATGTACACACAGGATCCAGTCAGGGGCTAACCCCTGCTGCTGCTCGTGGGTTCCGTGCAACTCTGGTTACACTACTATTTTCAGTGTGCTAGCTTAAGGAGAGCTGGGAATCACCTTCAAGTATCTCTTTTCTCTTTGCTCTCTCAGCTCATTCAAAGGCTTTCAGCTCAGGGCCTTTTTCCACTGCAGTGCGCCTTTCTAACCTTTGCAGGTCTTATGCAGTGCCTGTAACTTCCTTTATACTTTTTGTGCTATTTTTATAACCCACTCTCGTTTTTCCTCTGGAGATCAAAAGAGTGGTTTTACTTGAGAGAGGTTTGAAAATCTACTGAATGATAGATACAAACAAAAGAGATCATCTTAGTGAACCATTTCCCTCTGGGTTTTAGCTCTCTTTCTTAATCAGGTAAGAGTTGTTGTAAAATGCTTCTGGCAGTAAATAAGCTGTTTGCTACTGATAACAAATTCACCTATGAACGTGCAAAAGCTTAAGTCAAATCAGAGCTGTGGTTGGTCGAAACTTCTCAAAATCAAACCAGGAACCTCTTTTCTGTTTTTATTAAAAGCAACACTTCAAAATAAGAGTCTCAAAAGTTATAGTTTAGGAACATGGCGACATACTTGGGGTATCATATCTGTGGTATTGCCCTCAACCCCTCACGCTACACCCTCACAGAGCTGTGAATGTAGATTACTCAATCTGATTTATGAATTAAATCCAGAATGCTTTGCACAGTCTTGGGGACTCCCATAAGGTCCCAGAGCATGCACACACACTGTTTCAAGCCCATAGAATGGGACTGATCATCTACGTCTCAGCACAACTTATGAGAAGGGAAGAAACTCATACTTGCTGCTGGTTGTGGTTTGCGTTGTGTGCAGCAAGGCCAAGGGAAGAGAAAAGCCCCAGAGTGCAGCTAAGTGTCACTGGGACAGCAGAAGCTTAGTAAAGCAGCCAGGCCACTGCGGTAGTGGCTCATCTCTAGCTGAAGGGGAACTTCTGTGGAAGAACAATGGTTGCCTCACCAGTGATTTTAGATGCTTAGCCAGACTTTCAGTGCTTCTCAGGGTCACGCATCCCTGCCAAATGAAAGAGAGGAGAAGCTGATGGATTTCATGTAAACAAGTGAGGGGCAGTGTCCCGTCCATAGGATGGCTCAAGGCAGCTGCCCCAGGCCCTGTGGTGACCACCTCAACCATCCTATGGATGAGACCCAACCATATCTGTGGGGCCCAGGGTGGTCTGGGGGATTAGCTGGAGGTGGGGGCTGGTGCTGATGGCAACAAGGGTCGGACCCGTCACACCCCATGGTGGTGGGAGCCAGAGCTACCCAGCTGCCCATTCTGCTCCATCACCCTCTCCCAGCTGGCTGTGCTCTGCTTTGCTGCAGTGGCAGGAAGTGGAGCATCCCAGCCCCAGCTTGCTCCCCCAACTGATGCAGGCCTCGGGGGAGTGGACAGGGCTGGCGCTGGAGCCGGGGTGCTCCGTTTCCCGTCACTGGGGTGATGTGGAGCTCAAGCAGCTGAGAGAGGGCAGGGGGGCAGAAGTAGATGCTGGGTAGCTCCCTTTCCCACTGCTGTAGTGATTTTGGGCGGAGGGGACAGCAGACCTCTGCTGCTGCCCTGTGCCAGGCTTCTGAAAATCCCTCCGGGTCGTGTCACTCAAAAGATGGGATGATCAGGGTGGGAAGAGACAGGGTAGGGGCACAGCAAGGGGAGAGCTTTAGAAAAGGGGTAGAGTCGGGCAGGGGCAGAGCAGAGGTGGGGCAGGGCTGGGGCCTGCAGTGAGAGGGTTGTCCCAGGCCCCACAACACCTAGGAATAGCTCTGACCAGGGGTAAAAGTAAAATTAACTTTTTTCAGTATAAGGGGGCACCACCAGCTATGGTGAGTCGTCTCATGTAACCCCCACATGAGGTGACTCCACCCCTCCCCTAGCACAGGACACCTCCCCGCCCCCGCTC